TGTCGTGAAATAGCTGACCTCAAGACCCAAGAAGAGCAGTGTGGCTTCCGGCCCGGTCGAAGTACCTCTGACCATATATTTGCCCTGCGCCAGATTGTTGAGAAATCGTGGGAGTACGCCCAGCTGGTGTACTGTTGTTTTGTGGACCTAGAGAAAGCGTATGACCGGATCCCACGCATCAGTCCGTGGACATGCCTTCGTGCAGACTGGATTGATGGCCAGCTGCTAAAGGCCATCCAATCAGTGTATTCTGATAGCAAGTGCTGCGTCAGAGTTAATGGCGTTTAGTCGAAACCATTACACGTTTGCACTGGTCTCCGCCAAGGCTGCGTCCTATCTTCTATCCTGTTTGTGTTGTACATGGATAGAATAATCAAGAGCTGTCAAGGCGATGAAGGTATAAGTGTAGGAGATGTGAGGTGGAGAAGGTTGCTGTTTGCAGACGACCTTGTTTTATTAGCATCTTCTAAAACTGATCTTCAGTGCTATTTAGAAAGGTTCACAGCCGACTGCGACGTGACCGACATGCGTGTGAACGCATCTAAAACGAAAAGCTTAGCGCTTTCTCGTTCTCCTGGCCCGTTGCTCTCTTCAAATTAACGGAGAGGCAGTGGAACAGGTGGAGAAGTTCGAGTACCTCAGAACTGTATTTACTAGTGATGGAAAATTGGAGGAAGAGATCGACCGGCGAACTGAAGTAGCCAGTAGCGTTCTGCGTGAACTAGCCCGATCCAGGGTGACTAAAGCAGAGCTAAGTCTGAAAACTAAACTCTCGGTGTTGAAGTCGATCTTTATCCTCATGCTTACCTACGGTCATGTATCGTGAACCATCACTGAAAAACTTCGAACCTGGGTAAAAGCTTCTGAAATGGGCTATCTTAGGCGAGTAGGTGACTATGCGCGTCTCAACATTGTCCCTAATACTAATATGCGAAGGAGCATTGGTATAGAGCCTTTTCATCTCCAGATATGGAAGTCACAGCTGCGATGGTTTGGGCATGTGTTGCGAATGCCTCCTGAAATGAAGGCTGACCAACTGTTCCTTGCAAATCGGACAGGCAGAAGGCCCAGGGGACGGCGAAGATTAAACTGGTGCAAATATATGAAAGAAGCCTGTTCGAGACTCCATCTGTCTTTTGCCGAAGGTCAGACTCTGGCACAGAATGGGGAACGTTGAGGCTCTCTGTGACGCGTCTACCTTCGCGACCCGAACGGAGAAGCGGCGATCGAAGATTAATGAATGAATGAATACTGAGCACTC